CTGAAATCCATACAGCATTTTCTTCCGTTGCAATAACCGTACATGAAAATGATGATTTCACTTATTATGCCATCAACCAAACTTAGTAATTGTATCTTAGTAATTTGACCATTATTGTAAGCTTACACCGTTCAGAAGAAACAAACTATACTAACCAATTTTTATCACTTGCTTAGTCAGAAAAAAACTGATTAGACAATTACAACTAAGAAATAATATGGATAATCAATGGGCGTATTCTGTATATTAAAAAAATTCTTGGTTTTTTAAAAGCAGTATTTAGTTGACATACGACAGCTTCTGCATTTTTAACCACTTAATTTACTACATGCTCTCAGAAGCAGTTAATATGCATCGCTTGTAGATCGTTCAATATTTGGTTCAAAACCTTCAACGATACGGAAGGTATATAATAACAGCGGCAAAAAAATTTTTGGTAGAAGTTGTTTCATAAAAATAAAAGATTTTTTTTCTGAGCACGAGATTACTGTTGACAATATTGTCCTTGTTGTTTAGACTGGGCTAAGAGCAGTGGAGTGAAAGACTACCAAACAACTTCTCATCTTCCAAAAACTGCGCGTCACAAATTGTTCCCTTGATAAAAATTTCATAGCGTTTCTAAACCTACGTACGTAAGAAGCTTAAAATAAACGCTTAGTTTTTCAGGCAGACAAACAGCCATACTTAGTAACGACCACTCTCCATTGTCGATATAATCTGAACGATCAACTGAATCGTAAACAAAGTAGTTTTGTGGATCGCCTTCATTCCTTATCGGTATTGACGGTACCTTTGTACCATTTATCACAGTCTCAACTGTTGCTAAGTCCATGTCCAAATCAATAATGTTTCCAGGATGTGTCCAAGAACCAAACTAAAATATTCAAGCGTTATTTGTTACTTTAATACTCAAAAATTGTAAACCAGCTGCGCTTTGAATGCATAATACACACTATACAGTCTACTGACGAAATCATTCAGCAGAATGAGCCATGAATTTAGACGAATAATTTCTTTTAGCTTTCACCAGCTCTTATTTTTAATCTTGTCGAAAGGAAGATAAAAAAAAAGTACAAGTTAAAACCAAACCTTTAGGAAGCAAAGTTGGTCGTCAAATGGAAACCAGGTAATATCAATGTCACAAGTAAATTTGAAAATCCCGGGCGGTACCTGGTTCACCTCCCCAGTATGTTTGACCACAAAATTTGATGAATATGTCGACGAAAAACTTTCAGCAACACTAAAAAATCAATTTTTTTTTATTGAAAGTTTTAAAAATAAAAAAAAAAAAAGATTTATGACTCAGTAGTTAATAAAATTTGAAAGCAAAGCTACTATTAAAACTTCTTAAAGTGGCCTCATAATTCAGTCAATCCGTCATCCACGGTAGCAATCAAAAAAAACTTAAAATTTCTAGGAATAACCGCAGTCTATCAAACTCAGTTTATTTTTTTTAAAAACAGCTATAAAGAGCTGGAAAAAGATAAGACCTGTTGAACAGCAGTATGTCCGGTTTCCATAATTTTGCAGGTGCACTATCAGCACCTGAAAATCGTATGTCTGTTATTCCACCGTATTTTTTTGGATCCCATACCAATTTATAGTCGGTCCAATTCTAAAAAATTCTATTAATTTAAATTAAAAAGAAAATAAGCTTTTTTCTAGCTTTTTTTT